AGTCTAGTCTATAGTCTAGTCTATAGTCTAGTCTATAGTCTAGTCTATAGTCTAGTCTATAGTCTAGTCTATAGTCTAGTCTATAGTCTAGTCTATAGTCTAGCCTATAGTCTAGTCTATAGTCTAGTCTATAGTCTAGTCTATAGTCTAGTCTATAGTCTTCTATAGTCTAGTCTATAGTCTAGTCTATAGTCTAGTCTATAGTCTAGTCTATAGTCTAGTCTATAGTCTAGTCTATAGTCTAGTCTATAGTCTAGTCTATAGTCTAGTCTATAGTCTAGTCTATAGTCTAGTCTATAGTCTAGTCTATAGTCTAGTCTATAGTCTAGTCTATAGTCTAGTCTATAGTCTAGTCTATAGTCTAGTCTATAGTCTAGTCTATAGTCTAGTCTATAGTCTAGTCTATAGTCTAGTCTATAGTCTAGTCTATAGTCTAGTCTATAGTCTAGTCTATAGTCTAGTCTATAGTCTAGTCTATAGTCTAGTCTATAGTCTAGTCTATAGTCTAGTCTATAGTCTAGTCTATAGTCTAGTCTATAGTCTAGTCTATAGTCTAGTCTATAGTCTAGTCTATAGTCTAGTCTATAGTCTAGTCTATAGTCTAGTCTATAGTCTAGTCTATAGTCTAGTCTATAGTCTAGTCTATAGTCTAGTCTATAGTCTAGTCTATAGTCTAGTCTATAGTCTAGTCTATAGTCTAGTCTATAGTCTAGTCTATAGTCTAGTCTATAGTCTAGTCTATAGTCTAGTCTATAGTCTAGTCTATAGTCTAGTCTATAGTCTAGTCTATAGTCTAGTCTATAGTCTAGTCTATAGTCTAGTCTATAGTCTAGTCTATAGTCTAGTCTATAGTCTAGTCTATAGTCTAGTCTATAGTCTAGTCTATAGTCTAGTCTATAGTCTAGTCTATAGTCTAGTCTATAGTCTAGTCTATAGTCTAGTCTATAGTCTAGTCTATAGTCTAGTCTATAGTCTAGTCTATAGTCTAGTCTATAGTCTAGTCTATAGTCTAGTCTATAGTCTAGTCTGTAGTCTATCTTTCTTGCCTCTAATATCTGTATAAATTACTTTACCATTTCCTAATGACAATTTCTCTAACTAATGATCGATATCCATATGTAAAACCTAATGTCACTTAGAAATCAACATAGATATTCATTCATGAAAAAATCAACCAAACATATCATTACAGCCAACAACACTACACTAATTATATTATTCATACTCAAATGACACAACAACAACAAAATGTCATTTAAGTTCATAGTCCATGGCTTCCCAAAACATCCTCCATATTAATAAATAACGTTTGTCATTAACACTTTAATGACAAATTGTAATGTGCGCATGCGTATGCCATTAATGTTGCCATATTTTTACAAATTAGGGAAATTTGTGAGAATTCTTTTGGAAGTATTCAAATATTTTTAAAATTTCTTAATATATATTGGAGAAATATTTTTTTAAATTTTGTCAAAAATAAAAATTATTGTTTTATGATTATAAATCTGGCAGCTTTGTTTACTAGCAAAATTATTTTTTTTCAAAAGTGAAAAGTAGTATTTTGTTAAAAAGAAACTTTGTAAGAAAATATAAAAACAATAATAACAACAACAAATTAAACAAATTTACATACATGCACACGATTTATTAATGATAATTGTGAAAAGAAATGAATAAAAATTTAAGAATAAAAAACCAAAACACTGAGAGAACAAATAAGTCATATTTATAATATATTTAAAGCAAATATTGAAATAATAGTCTAGTCTATAGACTAGTCTATAGTCTAGTCTATAGTCCAGTCTATAGTCTAGTCTATAGTCTATTCTATAGTCTAGTCTATAGTCCAGTCTATAGTCTAGTCTATAGTCTATTCTATAGTCTAGTCTATAGTCCAGTCTATAGTCTAGTCTATAGTCTAGTCTATAGTCTAGTCTATAGTCTAGTCTATAGTCTAGTCTATAGTCTATTCTATAGTCTAGTCTATAGTCTATTCTATAGTCTAGTCTATAGTCTAGTCTATAGTCTAGTCTATAGTCTATTCTATAGTCTAGTCTATAGTCTAGTCTATAGTCTATTCTATAGTCTAGTCTATAGTCTAGTCTATAGTCTAGTCTATAGTCTAGTCTATAGTCTAGTCTATAGTCTAGTCTATAGTCTAGTCTATAGTCTAGTCTATAGTCTAGTCTATAGTCTAGTCTATAGTCTAGTCTATAGTCTAGTCTATAGTCTAATCTATAGTCTAGTCTATAGTCTAGTCTATAGTCTAGTCTATAGTCTAGTCTATAGTCTAGTCTATAGTCTAGTCTATAGTCTATCTATAGTCTAGTCTATAGTCTAGTCTATAGTCTAGTCTATAGTCTAGTCTATAGTCTAGTCTATAGTCTAGTCTATAGTCTAGTCTATAGTCTAGTCTATAGTCTAGTCTATAGTCTAGTCTATAGTCTAGTCTATAGTCTAGTCTATAGTCCAGTCTATAGTCTAGTCTATAGTCTAGTCTATAGTCTATGTCTAGTCTATAGTCTAGTCTATAGTCTAGTCTATAGTCTAGTCTATAGTCCTAGTCTATAGTCCTAGATCTATAGTCTAGTCTATAGTCTAGTCTATAGTCCAGTCTATAGTCTAGTCTATAGTCTAGTCTATAGTCTAGTCTATAGTCTAGTCTATAGTCTAGTCTATAGTCTAGTCTATAGTCTAGTCTATAGTCTAGTCTACAGTCTAGTCTATAGTCTAGTCTATAGTCTAGTCTATAGTCTAAGTCTATAGTCTAGTCTATAGTCTAGTCTATAGTCTAGTCTATAGTCTAGTCTATAGTCTAGTCTATAGTCCTAGTCTATAGTCTAGTCTATAGTCTAGTCTATAGTCTAGTCTATAGTCTAGTCTATAGTCTAGTCTATAGTCTAGTCTATAGTCTAGTCTATAGTCTAGTCTATAGTCCTAGTCTATAGTCTAGTCTAGTCTATAGTCGTATAGTCTAGTCTATAGTCCTAGTCTATAGTCTAGTCTATAGTCTAGTCTATAGTCTGTCTATAGTCCTAGTCTATAGTCCTAGTCTAGTAGTCATAGTCTACTAGTCTAGTCTATAGTCTAGTCTATATCTAGCTATAGTCTAGTCTATAGTCTAGTCTATAGTCAGTCTATAGGTCTAGTTCTATATGTCCTAGTCTATAGTCCTAGTCTATAGTCTAGTCTATAGTCTAGTTTATAGTCTAGTCATGAGTCTAGTCTATAGTCAGTCTATAGTCTAGTCTATAGTCCTAGTGTATAGTCTAGTTTATAGTCCAATCTAGTAGTCTAGTACAATAGTCTGTTATATATTCTAGTCTATAGACTAGCACATAGTCTATAGTCTAGTCTATTAGTCTAGTCTATAGTCTAGTCTAAGTCTAGTCTATAGTCTAGTCTATAGTCTAGTCTATAGTCTAGTCTAGAGTCTAGCCTATAGTCTAGTCTATAGTCTAGTCTATAGTCTAGTCTACAGTCTAGTCTATAGTCTAGTCTATAGTCTAGCATAGTCTAGTCTATAGTAGTCTATAGTCTAGTCTATAGTCCAGTCTATAGTCTAGTCCATAGTCTAGTCTATAGTCTAGTCTATAATCTAGCCTATAGTCTAGTCTATAGTCTAGTCTAGTCTATAGTCTAGACTATAGTCTAGTCTATAGTCGTCTATAGTCTAGTCTATAGTCTAGTCTATAGTCTAGTCTATATTCTAGTCTATAGTCTAGTTTATAGTCCAATCTATAGTCTAGTACATAGTCTGTTATATATTCTAGTCTATAGACTAGCACATAGTCTGGTCAATATGCTGGTCTATAGTCTGGTCTTTAGCCTGGTTTTAAGTCTATAATATGGTCTAAAGTTTGTTCTATATTCTGATATATTGTTCGTTCTATAATCTGATCTATAGTATGAGCTCCTAGTCTATAGTCTAGTCTAATAAGCTAGTCTATAGTCTAGTCTTATAGTCTAGTCTTATAGTCTAGTCTATAGTCTAGTCTATAGTCTAGTCTATAGTCTAGTCTATAGTCTAGTCTATAGTCTAGTCTATAGTAGTCTATAGTCTATCTAGTCTAGTCTATAGTCTAGTCTATAGTCTTCTTAGTCTAGTCTATAGTCTAGTCTATAGTCTAGTCTATAATCTAGTCTATAGTCTAGTCTATAGCCTAGTTTATAGTCTAATCTATAGTCTAGTACATAGTCTGTTATATATTCTACTCTATTATCTAGTCTATAGACTAGCACATAGTCTGGTCAATATGCTGGTCTATAGTCTGGTCTTTAGCCTGGTTTTAAGTCTATAATGTGGTCTAAAGTTTGTTCTATAGTCTGATATAATATTCGTTCTATAATCTGAGTATGAGCTCCTATTTCTTTTTTTCTCAGTGTATAATGTTAAACTTTTCTTTCCAAGAGAATATTTCAATAACATCGGTAGCTGACATGTTTGTCTCGCTGTCTGTTTTCTTGCAGACTACATACATTCATATGTATGTGCGTGTTTATAATCATTTTAACATGTGTAAAAATTTTTATTAATAAAAACAAAATGTATTTTATGCATTTGTTTGTAGGATTGTACATCTTGTATGTTTTACTTAAAAAAAAACTGACAAAAACATTCTTCATTTTAAACACATTTTGTTAAAAAAAACACAATGTTTGCATGTTAGATCACGACATTATAATGTTATGACAATTTTCATTTAGTCTTTTTTTCTTACATCTTCGTGAAATCTGTGATTTTTTTCCTTCTCTATATATCAAACTCTTTTGTTTTTGTTGTAGTTTTTACAGTATGTTTAATTTTCTAGTAAAGTCATGCAAATGTTGTTAGTAACCGAAAACCGTTATAAGTACTAGAGTAGAGAATGGAAAATTTTCAAACTACAGCAAACAGCATAAATTTAATTGCAAAATTTTTATTCATTCATTGTTATTTATACTGACTCACCTTTGTATCTTTGTTTTTTCTCTCTCTGTTCTTTGTCTTTTACTAGATTTTAGCATTATTTTGTATTATTAACTTAAATGTCCACATCGCCAGTGCCTCATTATGGAACAGTTATGGCAGCAGTAGCAGCAGCAGTAGTGATAGTAAAACATTAAGTTTGGCCAGATGTAGTGGCGGTAGAGGTTTAAAATATTTATCCGGTGATGCTTTAACAGACTCACCCGATTGCTTGGGTCCCAATAATGCTCCCTATCCAAGGTAAGGCTTTTTAATCTAAATATATTAAAAACAAACTAATCAGGCACTAAATTTTAGGTTATTTTTTAGTCTAAAGTATAGTGTAGTCTATGGTCTAGTCTATAGTCGAGTCTATAGTCTAGTCTATAGTCTAGTCTTTAGCCTAGTCTATAGTCTAGTCTATAGTCTAGTCTATAGTCTAGTCTATAGTCTAGTCTATAGTCTGGTCTATAGTCTAGTCTATAGTCTCGTCTATAGTCTAGTCTATAGTCTAGTCTATAGTCTAGTCTATAGTCTAGTCTATAGCCTAGTCTATAGCCTAGTCTATAGTCTAGTCTATAGTCTAGTCTATAGTCTAGTCTATAGTCTAGTCTATACTCTAGTTTATAGTCTAGTCTATAGTCTAGTCTATAGTCTAGTCTATAGTCTAGTCTATAGTCTAGTCTATAGTCTAGTCTATAGTCTAGTCTATAGTCTAGTCTATAGTCTAGTCTATAGTCTAGTCTATAGTCTAGTCTATAGTCTAGTCTATAGTCTAGTCTATAGTCTAGTCTATAGTCTAGTCTATTGTCTAGTTTATAGTATAATCTATAGTCTAGTCTATAGTCTAGTCTATAGTCTAGTCTATAGTCTAGTCTATAGTCTAGTCTATAGTCTAGTCTATAGTCTAGTCTATAGTCTAGTCTATAGTCTAGTCTATAGTCTAGTCTATAGTCTAGTCTATAGTCTAGTCTATAGTCTAGTCTATTGTCTAGTTTATAGTATAATCTATAGTCTAGTCTATAGTCTAGTCTTTAATCTAGTCCATAGTCTAACCTATAGTCTAGTCAATAAAGTATAGTGTAGTCTATGGTCTAGTCTATAGTCTAGTCTATAGTCGAGTCTATAGTTTAGTCTATAGTCTAGTCTATAGTCTAGTCTATAGTCTAGTCTATAGTCTAGTCTATAGTCTAGTCTATAGTCTGGTCTATAGTCTAGTCTAGTCTATAGTCTTGTCTATAGTCTAGTCTATAGTCTAGTCTATAGCCTAGTCTATAGTCTAGTCTAGTCTATAGTCTAGTCTATAGTCTAGTCTATAGTCTAGTCTATAGTCTAGTCTATAGTCTAGTCTATAGTCTAGTCTATAGTCTAGTCTATAGTCTAGTCTATAGTCTAGTCTATAGTCTAGTCTATAGTCTAGTCTATAGTCTAGTCTATATTCTAGTCTATAGTCTAGTCTTATAGTCTAGTCTAGTCTATAGTCTAGTCCTAGTTATAGTCTAGTCTAGTCTATAGTCTAGTCTAGTCTAGTCTAGTCTAGTCTAGTCTAGTCTAGTCTAGTCTAGTCTAGTCTATAGTCTAGTCTAGTCCTAGTCTAGTCTAGTCTATAGTCTAGTCTATAGTCTAGTCTAGTCTAGTTAGTCTAGTCTATAGTCTAGTCTATAGTCTAGTCTATAGTCTAGTCTATAGTCTAGTCTATAGTCTAGTCTATAGTCTAGTCTATAGTCTAGTCTATAGTCTAGTCTATAGTCTAGTCTATAGTCTAGTCTATAGTCTAGTCTATAGTCTAGTCTATAGTCTAGTCTATAGTCTAGTCTATAGTCTAGTCTATAGTCTAGTCTATAGTCTAGTCTATAGTCTAGTCTATAGTCTAGTCTATAGTCTAGTCTATAGTCTAGTCTATAGTCTAGTCTATAGTCTAGTCTATAGTCTAGTCTATAGTCTAGTCTATAGTCTAGTCTATAGTCTAGTCTATAGTCTAGTCTATAGTCTAGTCTATAGTCTAGTCTATAGTCTAGTCTATAGTCCTAGTCTATAGTCTAGTCTATAGTCTAGTCTATAGTCTAGTCTATAGTCTAGTCTATAGCTAGTCTATAGTCTAGTCTATAGTCTAGTCTATAGTCTAGTCTATAGTCTAGTCTATAGTCTAGTCTATAGTCTAGTCTATAGTCTAGTCTATAGTCTAGTCTATAGTCTAGTCTATAGTCTAGTCTATAGTAGTCTATAGTCTAGCTATAGTCTAGTCTATAGTCTAGTCTATAGTCTAGTCTATAGTCTAGTCTATAGTCTAGTTTATAGTCTAGGTCTATAGTCTAGTCTATAGTCTAGTTTATAGTCTAGTCTATAGTCTAGTCTATAGTCTAGTCTATAGTCTAGTCTATAGTCTAGTCTATAGTCTAGTCTAAAGTATAGTCTAAAGTCTAGTCTATAGTCTAGTTTAAAGTCCAGTCTAAGGTCTCGTCCATAGTCTATTCTAAAGTCTAGCCTACAGTCTAGTTTATAGTCTAGTCTATAGTTTAGTCTATAGTCTAGTCTGTAGTCTAGTCTATAGTCTAGTCTATAGTCTAGTATATAGTCTAGTCTATAGTCTAGTCTATAGTCTAGTCTATAGTCTAGTCTTTAATCTAGTCCATAGTCTAACCTATAGTCTAGTCAATAAAGTATAGTGTAGTCTATGGTCTAGTCTATAGTCTAGTCTATAGTCTAGTCTATAGTCTAGTCTATATTCTAGTCTATAGTCTGGTCTATAGTCTTGTCTAGTCTATAGTCTTGTCTATAGTCTAGTCTATAGTCTAGTCTATAGCCTAGTCTATAGTATAGTCTAGTCTAGTCTATAGTCTAGTCTATAGTCTAGTCTATAGTCTAGTCTATAGTCTAGTCTATAGTCTAGTCTATAGTCTAGTCTATAGTCTAGTCTATAGTCTAGTCTATAGTCTAGTCTATAGTCTAGTCTATAGTCTAGTCCATAGTCTAGTCTATAGTCTAGTCTATAGTCTAGTCTATAGTCTAGTCTATAGTCTAGTCTATAGTCTAGTCTATAGTCTAGACTAAAGTATAGTCTAAAGTCTAGTCTATAGTCTAGTCTAAAGTCCAGTCTAAGGTCTCGTCCATAGTCTATTCTAAAGTCTGGCCTACAGTCTAGTCTATAGTCTAGTTTATAGTCTAGTCTATAGTTTAGTCTATAGTCTAGTCTGTAGTCTAGTCTATAGTCTAGTCTATAGTCTAGTCTATATTCTAGTGTATAGTCTAGTCTATAGTCTAGTCTATAGTCTAGTCTATAGTCTAGTCTATAGTCTAGTCTATAGTCTAGTCTATAGTCTAGTCTATAGTCTAGTCTATAGTCTAGTCTATAGTCTAGTCTATTGTCTAGTCTATTGTCTAGTCTATTGTCTAGTCTGAAGTGTAGCCTATAGTCTAGTCTATAGTCTAGGCTTTAGTCTACCCTAAAGTTTAGTCTATAGTCTAGTCTATGGTTTTATCCATAGTCCAGTCTAAAGTCCATTCCAGTCTAGTCTATAGTCTAGGCAATAATCTAGTCTATAGTATAGTCTATAGTCTAGGCTATAATCTAGTCTATAGTCTAGTCTATAATATAGACTATAGTCCATTTTATAGTCTAAAGTCTAGTCTATATTCTGGCCTATAGTTTAGTCAGCAGTCTGGTCTGTAGAGTAGTCTTAATAGATACATTTTTTTTATAACCTACATATCGGTGACGTCAATTAAAAATTGCCTTTATTATCTTTTCATTAATAAACAATTTATGTTACAATGTTATATTAATTAAGCATTTCATCTAATTGTCATTTGTTATTAATAAATTTCCTCTATTTCTTGTTTTTTTTATTTAATTTTTCAAGTGCGGCCGTGGCGCGAACATTTACCAATTGGAACGGAAGTTCACGACGTGGCCGTCAAAGTAAATTGCCATCAACATTAGATCCCGCCATTACAACTAGCGCTCTATTGAGGGCTTACAATGAAGTTAATAATGAAGATATTGATAATCATCGTTTTGGTAAGTGTGCTAATGTTGTTTGTTGTTTTTATTTTTTGTCTTGTTTATATAGATTTATTGATAATAATTATGTAGATGGAAATATGCATAAGCACATGTTTAAAATGTGCAGTGCGGATGACAGTTGTTTGAAAGAGTTAGTTGTTCGACTTTTTATTTTTTGCAAACACTTTTAGAAAAGGAAGGAAACTTAGGTCCATACTATTCTACCTCTCTCTGTTGCACTATTCTATAAAAAACACTTACGGCGAAACACTTTTATGTATAATACTGTCATATCCTGACACTTTTTATAAAATATTGCACTTTTCGGCGACACGGCGACATGGCGAATAAAATTTCTATTAAAAATTGTGAAGGCGAAGCAGTTTTCTATAGAATAGTGCCACGGCGAAACAATTTTCTATAAAATATTGCCAAGGCGAAGCTCTTTTCTATAGAATAGTGCCACGGCGAAACATTTTTCTATCAATATTTCTGGGCGAAACACTTTGCTAAAGAATACTGTCACAGCGAAGGCGAAACACTTTTTTAAAGAATAGTGCCACGGCGAAGAACATTTCTATAAAATATTGTCAGGGCGAAACACTTTACTGTAGAATAGTGTCACGGCGAGGCATTTTTCTATAAAACATTGCTAAGACGAAGCAACTATCTATAGAATTGTGCCACGGCGAAAATTTCTATTAAAATTGTGAAGGGGAAGCAATTTTCTATAAATTATTGCCACGGCGAGACATTTTTCTATCAAATATTTCTAGGCGAAACACTTTGCTAAAGAATACTGCCACAGCGAAACACTTTTCTACAAAATATTGACAAGACGAACCCTTTTCTATAAAATAGTGCCAGGGCGAAACAAAATATTGCAAAGGCGAACCCTTTTCTATAGGATAGTGCTACGGCGAAACTCATTTTTATAAAACGTTGTCAAGGCGAAGCACTTTTCTATAGAATAGTACCACGGCGAAACACTTTTCCACAAAATATTGCCAAGGCGAGCCCTTTTCTATAAAATAGTGCCACGGCGAAGCACATTTTTATAAAATATTGTAAAGGCGAAGCACTTTTCTAAAGAATAGTGCCACGGCGAAAAACATTTACATAAAATATTGCCAAGGCGAAGCACTTTTCTATAGAATAGTGTCACGGCGAAACTTATTTCTGTAAAATATTATCATGGCGAAACACTTTTTATAGATTAGTCCCGCGGCGAGACATTTTTCTATAAAACATTGTCAAGGGCGAAGCACTTTTCTACAGAATAGTGCCACAGCGAAGAACATTTCTATAAAATATTGTCAGGGCGAAACACTTTACTGTAGAATAGTGTTACGGCGAAACATTTTTCAGTATAATAGTGTCACTCGAGACATTTTTCTGTAGAATAGATCCAAGGCGAGAAAATTTTCTATAGAATAGTCATATGGCGAGACACATTTCTCCAAAATAGATCTAAGACGAAACAATTTCCAATAATATAGAGTCACGGCAAGACAGTTTTAAATGGTATTTTATCAAGACAATACATTTTGCTATAAATAATACCGAATCAACTTATTTAGATTCATGACTGTTCATTCGATCGTAGTTTTTATGTTAAATGTGACAATTTTCTATGTACTTCCTATTTTCATCACATATTTAAACATGTTTAACTAATTGTTAATTTGAAAGAAAGCTACAAGAAATAACCATTGATTACATTATTCTTTAACGTATAGAATAAAATGTATACATTAGATTCTAACAACGTTTTTGAAATAATGTTAGAACGTAAATAAAGTTAATAAATACTTAAGTAAAGAGTAAATGGCCGGCAAAACATAATAACCTACTTTATAAAAGTTAAAACGTACAACAACTAAATACCAATTATAACATTTTATATTGTTTACTTTATTTGCTATATTGTAACAAACTAATAAAAATTAATTTCTTTTCTTTTTTTTTTTTTGTTATTAACAACATTTATAGGCCGCTCATTGAAGCAAACACCACAAGTCGACCAGTGCAGAAGTACCCCAGCACGTTTGTGTAAGACACGCTACAATACCACCGCACCCATGTATGGTGTCAGTTTGACATCAGGCCAACCCGTTACCATTGTACAAAAATTCCCCGATCTCTTGCAACAAGTTGTCTTTGAAGTGTGCGAGTATGTATACAATGTTTTCTTAAGAAATTAAGATTAGATTTTTAATAAAAAAAAAATATCTTTTAGATCTTCTGAATGTGATGTGGTTAGAGGTGAATGTACTCAAACTTATGTGCCTTATTTATTTTTGGTTATACCTCTGGGCCCTGTTACCTTAACGGGCCAGGATTATGTTTTGGTTGAAAGTGGTTGTGTTTGTAAACCTAAATATTCGACAGGAGCGACTCAAGAACCTAATATGATACCATAGTTTAATTAAGTTTTTCATGTATGTATATGTAGTATAAGGCGGGCAAAAAAACAACATCAACAACAAAATTGTTTTGAAAACAATTACAAATTATATTATTATTATTAAAAAACATAAAATTTGAAAAAAAAAAATCTTTATAATTTAAATGTAATTTTAAACGAAAACATAAACTACCAAAAGTACTGATCTTTTATGATAAATGTAAACAAATGACATGTTAATGAAACAAAATAAATTCATAATTTCGGGGTTTTAAAACACAACGGACATAATCACAGGCAGTTGTTATGAATTACAAATGTGGCAACTTTAAAGGAATTATTCTAAATTACAATATAGTCTGGTAGCCTTAAAGACAGCTGTTAAGTGGCATCTTTAACTAGTGTTGCCAAAATATTACGGTTTTTTCTATTGCAGTGCTTTTTAGCACTTTTCATTATGACGTTTGGCAGTAGTTATTTAAGAAGCCATATTAAAGCAAATTTATATGAAATATTGCCAAGGTGCAGCACTTTTCTCTAGAATAGAGTTGCGGCGATATAAATTTCTATAAAATATTGCAAAGGCGAAGCACTTTCCTAGAATAGTGCGACGACGAAACACTTTTATATAAAATATTGCTAAGGCGAAACACTTAGCTATAGATTACTGCCACGGCGAAATACTTTTTTATAACATATAGCTAAGGCGTAGTAATTTTCTATAGAATAATGCCACGGCGAAACACTTTTCTATAAAATATTACTAAGACGAAGTACTTTTCTATAGAATAGTGACAAGACAAAACAAATTTCCTACATTATAAATTCCTATAGAATAAAGTTACGGCGAGTCAGTCTTCTTTCTTAGCGACAAAAACATACAAAACATACACTGTTCTATAAAATATTGTCACGGCGAAATACTTTTTTATAACATATAGCTAAGGCGAAGTAATTTTCTATAGAATAGTGCCACGGCGAAACACTTTTCTATAAAATATTACTAAGACGAAGTACTTTTCTATAGAATAGTGACAAGACAAAATAAATTTCCTACATTATAAATTCCTATAGAATAAAGTTACGGCGAGTCAGTCTTCTTTCTTAGCGACAAAACATACAAAACATACACTGTTCTATAAAATGTTGTCACGGCGAAACGTTTTTTTTTATAAAATACTGCCAAAGCGATTCAATTTTTGCAAAAAAATTAATGTCAAGACGTAGTAACACTTTTATCTATATTAGTTCTACGTTAAAACATTTTCTTCCCAACAGTCCGGGAGTATGTCCTCTTATATGGTTTTAATTTAAAACAGGTTCAAAACTTTTGTAACTAATAAAATTTTCAACTTCCGAAAATTAGTAAAATTTTTAAAAATTTAAAAAAAATGTAAATTTAATTACATTTTAATAAAAAAAAACATAATTTAATTATAAGTTTGTTTTAAAAAATAAAAATTTCGAAAAAAATCTTTTAAAAGATTTTAAAAATTTATAATTTAATATATTTTCTTTATAAAATTTGTTTTCCTTTTATGTTAATTTTAAGTTTTAATAACTATTTATTGTTCTTTGCTATTTAAATTCTTTTTGTAAAAATTCCAATTACGACATTTTTCTAAACGAGTTTATGGAAAATTTTGTAAGTGAAAATGTCGTTTTTGGAATAATATTTATTATTTTTTTTTTATTAATAAATTTATTTTAATTTAAATTTAAGTAAATAGTTTTTTAAGTATATTTTAAATTAAGTTTTAAAAAATATTTTTCGATTTATATGATAAATGTGTTGCATTTATTAAATACAGAAAATAATGTTTTTGAATTAAATTATTTAAATAATAAAAAGACAAAAATTAATAAAAAGTTGAAAAATATTGTGGGTGAAGTTTTACGGGTGAGTGTATAAAGGAGGAAAATGTTTAGAATAAACCATACGCAGTTGTTCCTTCAAATTGTTGTCTTACCATTTTGTTAATTTACATTTATAATATATTAGTAACTATTACTTACTTGTGTCTGTTCCAAATGCTTCTTGGTACTCAGCAAATTTGATTTATTTAAATTTTTAGAAGTTAATATGGATTTTCTGTAATATCTGGACTATATAGTGTCTGATGTACATACAATATTGAGCAAATTATGTTGGTAATGTAAGTTATAAATAACTTTAAAGATTGTTGTAAATTTTTCACAAAATTAAGTGTTTTTTTTTTTTTTTTTTTTTTGTAAAAACAAAGTTGTAGTCTTTTGCTTATAACTCAGCAATATCTGTAGCGATTTTAATAATTAAACAAGTATATAAAGAAGAAAATGTCACTTTTGTAAAAACCAGAAGTTTTATTAATAAAATTTTAAAGTTTTTGTTTAAAATTTGTAAAAACTACAATTGTCTACACACTTTAAAGTAAAACTTAAAGATTTTACCACTTTGATATTTTCCCACCACTTTGTTATTGTACAGAGTTGTATTTATCAGCTAATTACAACACTGTTTTATAAAACACTACTACCTCACCACAGATGTCATCTCTGTATATTCATTTTGCGTGAGAGTGCGAATCAGAAACCCGCGTAAAATGTCAAAACCGCCGCCGCCGAAAATGTTTCAGCTTAATATGGCTTAAAAATTTAGCCATATTTTGTATAATTTACACTTTAGCTAAATTTATTGAATTTTACAATATAAAATTAATTTGTTTTCATTTATGCTAGTTTTCTTTTATCTAATAATAAGCCGCTCATTGCAATTTGAACGGTGTGTAAAACGTTCAAATCATATTGTTTCGCTTCAGACATTTTCGTGTTTTCGCGCCTAATTCGATTCGCTGCTTTTACTTCAAACCAGCTTAGTTGACGTCAAACAAGCTCCACCTAAAACTCACTTCAAAATATTATTTCCAAAATATATTTCTTGAATGTTATTATATTTATAACATTTATGGTTATATAGCTTCAAAAATTCAAGACCAAGGTTAGTTCCATCTGGAAGTTGTAAGCACTCAAAGTTGAAAAATTTGAAATAAATAAAATATGAACAACATTTCCAATAAAATAATAAAAAGGAACTGTTTAAAAGTTTTTTCTATTTTATTTATGTTTCACGTAAAGGTATGATAATTAATTTTGATATCATGTGAAAGGTCTTTGAGAGGCGCTTTCAATGGCGTATTGCAAATTAAAGTAAAAAAAAAATTAAAGTGTTATTTAGATTATTCAAAATTTTATTATATAGATTATACTACGCGGCAAAAATAAATACCTGGGAAAATATCATCATAAAACTTGGTGAAAGAATTTGTTTTTAATTATTAAGAATTAATCAAATTTAAATTTTTTTTAATTTTTACAATTTTTTAATTTTTTTCCATCCCTGCATAATTTCTTACACAACTTTTGTGCTTGTTATAAATTATATAAATTATATAGTCTATATTATAAAGTCTATCGGATTGCGTTTTTATTTTAAAATCTTTGAAAATTTTAAAATTAAGCGTATTTGAGAAATTAGCCGGCTTACAATCGATTTTAAGCCGCCGCCGATATTTTTAGTGTCAGCCGCCGCCGCCGTTAATATTTGTCGGCGCACGGCTCTGGTGCGAATGCAAGAAGAAAACGAATATTGTTTTTTTAACGAATTATTCGTTAAGTTTTCTTTTCGGTGCGTCTCCATTTTGCATAGAGCCGTATAAAAAATTGTGTAAATTTTTACAAAAATTACAATATTCTTATTGAAAATATTGTAAAAAACGGCTAAATTAAAGAAAACAATGTATTTGCTAACCTAATTACATTAAATGTGTCACTTTTAGTGTGTTTTTCTAAGCAAAATTACCAAGCGAAAAATTAAAAAAAATAAGATTCCATAATTTTTTTTGCTGAATTTTTTTTCGTATTACATTTTAATGCTGCTTTCGTAGCTGTCGTCGTTGTCAAGATAAGGCAGTTGTTAATTTTTTTTTTTAATTTTTGCTGCTATTGCTGTTCTTGTTTTTTATTATTTTCGCACCACGCCGTTTTGGAGTTGTACCCGGTTTTTTCTTCTGCTTTCTCAGCTTTTGTGGTCTTGTGTATAAAAAAAAAGTATAAATATTTCTTAACCAATAAAAAGTGTGGGAAATTCAATACAAGTGTTTTTGTTATTATTTAAAATAAAATAATAAAAAAGTTAGGCTAAAAAAGAACCGCAAATAATTATAATTGATGGCCTGAAAAATGGCATAATTAAAAGTTATCCAAGGAAATTTGTGTAGCCTAAAAACACATTTTTATTTCCTCGGCCACGAAAAAGAAAAAGTTTTCCAATATTTGTTTTATAATTTGTTTCTACATTCTTATTTTACCAACAATTCATCCGTCGTTGTTCATAAATTAAGGGTGACAAAATGATGTTCACGGTAAGTTGAAATTAATATTTATGTTTGTCATAATGTTCTCTACTGTGTTTTTATTATTATTCTTTTTTGGTTGTTTTCGTATTGGAAAGAAATTATATTTTAATATTTTTGTTAAATGGTTTTATAATTGCGTTTAAAAAGTGTTTAATAAGAGGCATGTGTTAGAGTTAGTAGCAGCACTAAAAGGTCCTACAGTTTAAATAATTTTTTAGAAAATTTTGAAAACTTTATTAAATCTAAATTGGGGTCAAGCTTTACATTTGAAATTTTGGCCAATTTTTTGTTCAAATTATTATTCAGTTCTAGTTCAGTTGCAGTTCAGATCTCGTTCAGTTTTAGTTCAGTTCTAGTTCAATTCTAGTTCAGTTCTAGTTCAGTTCTAGTTCAGTTTTAGTTCAGTTCTAGTTCAGTTCTAGTTATTTCTAGTTCAGTTCTAGTTCAGTTTTAGTTCAGTTTTAGTTCAGTTGTAGTTCTAGTTCAGTTCTAGTTCAGTTCTAGTTCAGTTCTAGTTCAGTTTTAGTTCAGTTCTAGTTCAGTTCTAGTTCAGTTCTAGTTCAGTTCTAGTTCAGTTCTAGTTCAGTTCCAGTTCAGTTCTAGTTCAGTTCTAGTTCAGTTCTAGTTCAGTTCTAGTTCAGTTCTAGTTCAGTTCTAGTTCAGTTCTAGTTCAGTTCTAGTTCAGTTCAGTTCTAGTTCAGTTCTAGTTCAGTTGTAGTTCAGTTGTAGTTCAGTTGTAGTTCAGTTCTAGTTCAGTTCTAGTTCTGTTCAGTTCTAGTTCAGTTCTAGTTCAGTTAA